GAAATAAGCACTTATATAAACATTTAAAAGGACAACATATAGGTTTAGTGCAGGTTCAAGGACAACATAAAGAGTAGTAGTTTATTCTTGAAACTTAAATTCGCAACACTGTGAAGTTAGTATTTGTCTTTTGGTTGAAGTAATGCAATTCATTCAAGTTTCAATTTGCAGAATAAGAGTAGTTTCTTAAACTTAAATTCGCAACGCGAAAATTAAAATCGCAACGCGAATATGAAAATCATAGATTTTTATTTTCGCGTTGCGATTTTCATGTTCGCGTTGCGATTTTCATATTCGCGTTGCGAATTTAAGTTTAAAAAACTATTCTTCTGCAAATTGAAACTTGAATGAATTGTATTTCGTCAACAAAAAGACAACAAAGACAAATACTAACTTCACAGGGCAGTATCGGCAGCAACCGAATGAATTTACTAAGCAATCTAAGTGAAATGGTTATAGATTATATATTGAAATTACCAGTAAATTTATCATCAATATCAGACAAATCTAATAATAATACAACAATTTCAAAATAAAAATAAGATATTAAACTAACCCTTGGTGGTTGATTTTCCATTTATGACCGTGAATGGTTGTGAGGGTTGCTCTGAGAGATGGAGATAGACGGATTTCGTCGGAGATGGGGACGAATTTCGTTGGAGATGGGGACGGATGTCGCCGTAGAGAGTAAGAGATGGAGATGAGACTGAGTTGTGATTTAGGGTTTTAGATTATGATTTGCAATAATACTGTTTACATTTGTGTTTCTCAATTAATATTGTGTTTCGAATTCGAAAATAAAATTCGCGTTGCGAAAATAAACGTGCTTTGCGAATTTGACTTCTGTGTTGCGAATTTGACTTATGTGTTACGAATTTTACTTTTGTGTTGTGAATTTGACTTCTGTGTTGCGATTTACAAATTCACGTTGCGAATTTGGAAACTGGGTTGCGAAATAGGAATTCGAATTGCGAATTTGTTGGTCATTTTCGCAAATCTAAAAAAAATTGGTTAAAATCGTATATTATAAGGCATTTTCTGTCACTGAGGTTATTTTCTCTTATAACAATCATGTCATTTAATTTATAGATTGTTATAATCAAAAGACCCAATTATAATAAAGAAGCTAACATTTGTGTTGTGAATTTGACTTCTGTGTTGCGATTTACAAATTCACGTTGCGAATTTGGAAACTGGGTTGCGAAATAGGAATTCGAATTGCGAATTTGTTGGTCATTTTCGCAAATCTAAAAAAAATTGGTTAAAATCGTATATTATAAGGCATTTTCTGTCACTGAGGTTATTTTCTCTTATAACAATCATGTCATTTAATTTATAGATTGTTATAATCAAAAGACCCAATTATAATAAAGAAGCTAACATTTGTTAAACACTTAACAATAAAATGGCATATTTATAATCAATTAATTAAGTGACATATTTATAAATTTTTCAAATTTGGTAATCCACTTATAACCTTACTAATAATTATGGTAAATTACATTCAAAGACACTCATTTATTAGTCAAGTTACAAATGGGTCATTTTTTTCTAAAAATTTATAATTTAATCATTAAATTAAAAATATTTATACAAACAAGTCACTATACCATTAGAAATTGGATGAAATAGGTGACCTTATATAGTAACAGTTTTAATCTTAAAGCTTGTACATTATATCTATTTACTCCTAATTCGAATTATTTTTAAAATATAATCCTTCATATTTAAAAATTCTATCAACTTAATACATTTTCTCTCTTAAATTATTTGTTCTTCAGTGTATTATAAATAGACTATTAAAATAAATAAAATAGATCACATGATCTAATTTTCTTTTCTTTCATATATATTATTTTCATTTGTAGCAATCTATAATAGTTGTGTGAAAGTTCAGATGTAGGCTGGGGAAATCACGATGCTGTTGATACCCATATTATATTACATCCAGTCATCGCAAAACTAACGCAAATAATGGAACAATGTCGCTTCTTGAATTGACTCACCAAACGCTGGACCGCACCTCAGCCCCTACATACAAGATAAATAAATAAAACGATGGAAAAAAAATTCTCTTTTTCCATTAAATTTATCTATTTTTATTTTTTAAAATATTTTATTTAAATTATATTACTAGAAAAATTATTAAATAACAATACATATATAATTTTTATCTTTATTTGTCTTATTTTTTTACACTTGTCAAAATAAGTTAAATTTATCAAACACTTTTTTAAAATAATTATCAGTTATTTTATATTTCTTTCGTCTCATTATTTTTATCATATGTTTAAAAAACACATAGTTATAAGAGATAAATTGAATTAAAAACAACATCAACATTAATATAATAATAGAGTAAATCTCACCACCATGGTTGACACAAGTAATTGAAATTCAGAAATTTAAGTTATTAAGGTCAAATTCGAATTTCACTATCATCACTTTTAATGGACAATCTGTAAAATCTTATATAAATCTCAATTGAGTTTTAAGTATGCTCTGACCCTAGATTGGGGATTCACCCTTAACCTAAATTTTTGTGTACTAAAAAAAATAATAGAGTAAATTACACACCTGTTATTATAATGATGGAAGAGACCTCCACCCACGCTATTGAGACCCTGGTCTCTTCTCATGGCTGCCCAACGAATGATGAGGCCACCAAAAGAGTGCGATTCAAGCCCCATGATGATGAAGCTCTACAAGATCTTGAAATGGAACCAGTGGAGCTGAATTCCCCTGACCATTCTTATGCTGCAGCCCTGACTGGTAAGACTGCAACCAGGAGTACTCAGGCCAAAATCGCGGAAGATTTTGAAATAGCTGATGAGGACAAAATCACAGGTACGCGCTTTGGATTACCATCCATCCAATTCTCTGGTCGTGCCTATCAATTGATGGAGGCGAGTATGGCTAAAACAGTTATTTTAAAGTTGTTGGGGAGAAATATTGGTCTGAATGCTCTTACCAATAAAACGTACGGACTTTGGAAGCCAACTCAATCCTTTACGCTCATGGACCTGAGAATAGATACTTCCTAGCACGTTTTCAGAATGACGAGGATTACATTAAGGTTTTGGCAGAAGGTCCATGGATTATATATGGACAGTACCTAACGGTTCAACCTTGGAAAATAGATTTCTGAACATCCCAACCTTATCTGACCACTGTTATAGCCTGGATCCGGTTCCTGGGACTCCCCGAATACATGTACAATAAGAAAATATTGAGCAGTATCGGTAGTCTTGTCGGTAAAGTAGCAAAGCTGCATTTTCACAAGGATACTAGTAACCGAAGGCGATTTGCACTGATTGCGGTGTATGTTGATCTTACAAAACCCTTAATCTCTAAGTTGGAGGTTGGAAATAAAATCCAAGTAGTGGAGTATGAGAACCTCCCCTCGATATACTTCTCTTGCGGCAGATTTGGCCACATGAAGGAAGCCTGCCCTTCGAGCTCTCAACCTCACGACCAACAGTCTAGTGAGGTTAAAACTGTTATTAATGCTCATGCTTTTTCGAAACAAGTCACCAACGCTTTGGAAGAAGTAGAAACAGCCCCTTATGGCCCCTGGATGATGGTGGAAAAGCGTCACCGGAAAAAATCAACGGGTCCGACGAAAAGTTCTGAACAAGCAATCGGTTCCAAGATCTCGGGATCTCGATTTACTGCCTTGAATGCTGACGCTCAGTCCAACGATATAATTCCCGAACAACCTGGCGAGACAGGTGGATAGATTCATCTCCCTTCCACGTCTACTATCCTTTCCAAAAATGAGATTCCTCCTAATTCCATGTTTAAAAGTCGTCATTCCAGCGCCGAGATCAATTCTAAATCTATTCCCACGGTTAATGCTACGAATGGCAGACGTACGCAGAGTCAAGGGAAGAAATCCCATAAAATGAGTTTAATGGTGGCCCCCACGACCAAGGTAAGCTTAGATGGTTCCTTAATAACCAACCCCATGCACGTGCAGGTTTCCATGCAAGATGGTAGTGTTGATACAGCCATGCACTCCCCCATCCATAACCAACCAAGCACGTCTAGGTCGGCTGAGATAATTAATTTGGCTGGTTCGAATTTCCACACAAGTACCAACCTTATATTCGATAATTCATTGGGCATGGAAGGGCAGTTGGTCAAGTCTTCTCTCGGCCTTTCCAAACGCAAGGTAGTAGCTTTTATTGAGAAGGCTAGCTCCAACATCCTTCCGATTTCTACTTCTCTTCATCCACCTGTTAGTCGTCGAACCCAATCGTCGAAGGATAGAGGAGCCTCTTATGTAATTCGTAATAAAGGAGTAAAGTTAATGTCTGCTAGTAATACTCGTCTTCCTGTCTAGGCAACCATGAATAACATCCTTCAGAATATTCTTGACAAAGTTCAGGACGTTAACCAACCTGGTGATCTCTCGGCCATTGTCGATGATAATGCTCAATAAGGTAACTCTTCTATCCTTTTGATTATGAATTTTAAACTAATGACTTGGAATTGTCAGGGTTGTGGCGGACACAGGTTTCCTTGGATTCTTAAGGAGTATACCCAGGAGCATAAACCAGATTTAATGGCGTTACTGGAGTAAGGTAACTCTTCTATCCTTTTGATTATGAATTTTAAACTAATGACTTGGAATTGTCAGGGTTGTGGCGGACACAGGTTTCCTCGGATTCTTAAGGAGTATACCCAGGAGCATAAACCAGATTTAATGGCGTTACTGGAGACTTGTATTAGCGGTATCAAAGCCGACCGTTCAATTGCAAGCTTTGGTTTTGAGAATTCGTTCAGAGTTGAAGCAGCTGGTTTCTCAGGTGGCATATGGATGGTGTGGAATGCTCATCTCCGAGTAGAGATTATAGCCGCCCACCCACAATTTGTCCATGCCAAAGTCACTTCGACAGTTTCGGCCAGACCTCTTTTTGTCTCTATCATTTATGGTAATCCCGATAAAAGGAAACACACTGCTCTCTAGAGAGAGTTTCGAACTGTTCCGATCACAAATGGCGCCCCATGGCTCATTGCCTGAGATTTTAATGCGATTCTATCCTGTGATGAAAAGAAGGGCGGTCTTAGGCGAGGTACTGGTTGTCCTTCCATGATTTCATAACTCATTACAACCTCATAGATTTGGGTTTTAAGAGTCCACAATTTACTTGGTCGCGCGGTGGGGTCCATGAGCGGCTTGATCGGGTGCTTGCCAATAATGAATGGAATGATCTAGCCCTGCTGGCCATTGTTAAGCATTTAGCGCGGATTAAATCGGATCACAGGCCTATGCTTCTCACGTCTCCTGGCACCTCCAAACCACATTCACCTAGGCCGTTTCGGTTCCTGGCAGGGTGGACCAAACATCCACAATTCAACAAATTTATTCAGGATAACTGGATCAAATGAGGTACTATTTCTAACTCGATTAATTCTATTGTTTCCTCTCTTCACGTTTGGAACAGGGAGGTTTATGTAACCTTTACCAAGAAAAACAAAAGCTTAAAAAATATCTTGCCAACATCCAAGCTATGTTCGACCATAATAGCTCTGCTCACCTTCTCGATAAGGAGCTGAAAGTTAGAACAAAATTAGAGGACATTCTGGACCATGAGGAATTGCTTTGGCAACAAAAGTCTAGAGCTACTTGGGTCAAAGACAGGGATCGAAATACCAAATACTTCCACTCCCGAGCAATGACCCGTCCAAAATCAAATCGAATACAAGGGATGAAACTTAGCAGTGGTGACTGGTGCTTCGAAGATGAGGTCCTTCGTAATGAAGCTATTCTCTTTTTCTCCTTGTATTGGGGTAATAGGGTCGTACAGGTCAGTTCCCAATCAGAGAAATTTCTACGGCTATCCAATTCCGATCTCCAGTGCCTCGATGCCGTTATTTCCAATGATGAAATAAAGCAAGAACTTTTCAATATGAGCCCTCTCAAAGCTTCAGGGATCGATGGTCTCCACGCTCTTTTCTTTCAGAGCCAATGGGCGACCGTAGGTGAGTCCGTCTGTAACTGCATTAATTCATGCAGTTACACGCAAATATGCACATTTCTTTTGGTTAATGTGTGTTAATATGACTTTTGGAAATTTACATATACTCTGCGTTTAAGAACAATGTGAACTATAATATCATTTTAATAAATGGTATTTATTGGTAAGCATGAATGTGTTATAATCATTATGCGGTTATAACTTTTGATTTGTAGTTATTTGTTGTTTTATGGCATTATTATTATGCCTTAACATTTTTGTGTCTATTCTAACAAGCAATTGAATTGTTTATTAAGCTTTAACAAAATTGTCTGAAGGTGGTAGATGACCATTTTATTCTTAGTGAATTGTTTCATGTTTCCATGGTCTGCCTTATTTAATTCTTTATTATGTGTTTAAGAATTTTATTATGGTTGGTTCACGTACAATGAGTTGAGCTATGAGACCGACAAACTATTGCTTCGACTTTTTAAAGTCTTGAAACATTTTTAAGGAAGACTATAAAGTAAATCTATTAGATATATTTCGATTTACTTTATTATGTGATTTTATTTATATTAAATGATTTCTAATCATATGTGGAGAAGAAGGGGTAAGATTATTCCGTTTCTGAACATTAAGTTGAAAATAAATATCAACTATTTTATCATACTAATAATATCTTTTAAGAAATTTATAAAGACAACAAGATGGTTGTAATTTTGGAGAATCATGAAGATGATGATGTTGAAAGAGAAGATTCTCAAAACTGAATAGTTGTTAAATTTGAGTTTGATTTCCATAATCTCTTGAAGATAAGGAACCAAAATCCTAAAGACAAAGATCTTGTCACTATCAATAAATTATTTTAATTATTGTTAGTAAATTAATTTCGTGACTAACCATGTATATTCTTCATTTGACTTCATTTGACATCTCTGTTGCGTAATTTTCCATGTGAGTAGTTGGGTTTAAGGTTTAAAATGCTTGCAGTTGTGTGCAAATCCTATTATTTAGCAGATTCTCTTCAACATGATAAGTGACAACTGTCGTTTTCGATGTTAAAATAATTCCTTATTCTCAATCAATAAATAAAGGAAATACGTAGTATAGAGAAATAAGGTTCGAATCCTCAGGGACTTAGAAAATCACAATTTAATGTTTGAATGGTTCTAACCAGGCGAAAATAGTAAAAAAAGGGTTTGTAATATGAGATTAAAATGGTAAAAATAAATAAAAACAATTTAAATAAAAATAAGAGTATGAAGATTGTGAATAAATACGGTAAAAGTAGCCTCAAGCTTCGCTTTGATTCATTTTCCTTTAGATCATCGAATAAGATTTTCTCTTCGGGATTCACGTCGGTTACTTTGTCTACAAGGGCTATCCTTGTGACTCTATCTTATATACCGAATACCCAAGACAATCTTTGATTCCGGCTTCGGTAATTGATTCTAACAACATCTATTGTCGTAGATCAAATATCGTTTAAGTTCGTGGCGACCAACTTGGATTTTTGTTTCTATAACCGTCAATTCCGATCTCAATTCCCTCTTGGCGAAGCTATCTCGCCAAGTGTGTTCCTAGGAAGTCGAATTGCTTTCTATAAGCCGAATCTTCCTCCCACACGTTTAATCGCAACAACCTCTTGACCAAAGTCAATCTTTGATTTTGAAAACTGTTTTGATTTTGAAAAATAAGCGCAGAGATTGAGAGAGATATTCCGAAGATATTAAGGGACCGTTTCAATTCTCCCGTTGGAATTGAATCATCGCGACAGCTCTCGGCTTATGAAAAGTTTAGCTAAGCATGACAAAAGTCATACTTAGCATAAAAATAAAACTTGAAAATAAAGAAAAATAAAAAGAACTTGAAAAGGAAAAGAGAAAACTTTTATAAAAACTAGAGAGAAAAGAAGAATGTATTCCGAATGATGTGTTTAGGTTTACCCTAAGTGGGTATTTATAGCCTCTCAAAGCCTAAGAGATAAGCAAAAATAATAATAAAATAATACAAAAGATAATTGTTTTTAAATTTAAATTCAAACTTAAACTAGTCTCCTAATGCAACTCTGCTCGTCAATCTTCCAGAAGGCGTACGGACGAAGTCTTCTAGAAACCGCCGCTGACTGGACCTTCTAAAAACTATCACGTCAGACCGTGTCGTTCCCAGAGTCGTGCCCATGTCTCCAGTCGTGACCAAATAATAAAAAAAAATACAGAATTCGCCCGTTTTGTCACAAATTCTGGAAAGCAAGGACCTGTACAAAAACAAGTATAACATGACCAATTCAGCAGCAATAATTCGACAAAATCGAAGAAATAACGAACAAAGATTAACGATTTTAAACACTCATCAAATTCCTCCTCACTTATCTCATGCTTGTCCTCAAGTATGATTTACCATATCAGTCAAAAACTTCATTAAACGTTCTTTGTCAAGTTTCACATTCAAGGAAGTAAGGTAGAGACCACAATAACTATTCAAGTCAAGAAATCAATCAATTGAACATCACCAATTGGAACAAGTAAAGTGCAATTGTAATATCCATTCAGTCATTAATCTAAATGCTCATAACTCAATACCTTACCGGGATTCACTCAAATCACTCAATGTGTTTGGGGTAAAGAAACGCTCGATGTCAGAATTTACACGGTATTACCATAAGCCTGCAAGTAAATCAAATCTCCACTACTAATAAGAACAAGATGCATAAATCAAAGGTTCTTTTATTGGTTGTAACGGGGCTTAGGTAAAGATAGGGAAAAGGCTAAATATAAGGCAAAAAATTCAAGGCAAGGAACTAACAAATAATAATTTCAACTCCATCAAAATAAATATTAAGCACAACAAGATAAAAAAACTACATATATCAAACAACAAAATGCATTTTTTTCTCTTTGTTTTTGTTTCGTTTTCCATTTCACATCTTTTTTTTCTTTTTCTTTCGAACAACCTCTTTTTTTTTTCTCGTTCGAACTGTTGTTTTTTTTTCTTCGCATTCAACCCTTTTTTTTCTTCGCATTCAACCCCTTTTTTTTCGATGGAGCATACAATGGTAAAATTATTCACTTGCCCTTAAGAAGGTAGAAAAGAGGGATAAAATAAAAAGGCTCGGGTTTATAAATATGGTGAAAACAAAGAAACGAGAAAAGGCTCAAAAGTGGTTAACTAAGGGGAAAATGTATGGGTAGGCAATTTAGTGGGAAAACAGAATGGTTAATCCTAAGGTGCTCAAATCATCTTTAAGCATCATGTTCATGTGTAATCTCGACAGTATTTAACATTCAGGTTCTAGAATACCAATGCCAAATTCGACACACTCAATCAGAGAGCAAAAATGATATGCTCGTAAAGGTTCAAATCTCAGCAAATTGTTTCATGCATTGAGCTAATCACATTTCAACTAACAAAGTCATGGAATATCACATAAAAATACCAACTTATCACAATTCATGCTATTCGCTATCAAGAATATCCTAACATAAACAATCATGTGTTCCCAAACAAGCATATCATTCCAAAAATTTTCAACAAGACAAAGACAATCAATGAAATTTCTGACCAATTCAACCAACACATACTAGATTCAAAGCATAAGGATAAGCAAAGGGAAATTTAATCGACACTCTACTCCCCCTCACTTAAAGCGTTTTGTCTCAAAACAAAAATTAAAGTGCAAGAGAATGAATAGAGAACTCCCCGGATTTAATGTCGACCACGACCATGTCTTCAGCCGCGATGAGAGGCGCTAGGACGTAGGTAGGAGAGGATCTCTGTGATGTTCGTCTCAATGGAGTGGAGGCGGTCATTGACTTCATCCATTTGGGATTGCATATCCGGGCGTGGGGTTGCAGGAGGAGGCGCTGGTGTGTTTCGGCGTGTGAAGACTCGCTCGTTGCGAGGAGTGAGGACACCTGGTGGAATGAAGTAAGGTGCGCTCGGGGTTCCTGCAAGTAGGCCCATGGAGTCCAAGCATCGCTCATCTGCAGAGAAAGCATAAGTAAATCGTGTTACATCAAATTGAGCGATGCGAGAAGCTAAATGTGTAATGTAAAGTCCAAGGATAAGTGGGCAATTAGATCGAATAACGATCTCAAAGGCCCGAGCAAACCAAAATCCTAGGTTCACACGCTCGCCGGCAGACATGCACCATAAAAAAAATAACTCGACTCGGCTTAAGGAGGAGGATGATTCGTTCCGACCGGAGTAGTTGTAGGCGAGGAAGCGATGGATATAGCGCAAGGCTGGGTCATGGATAAGATAGGCTCGTGTCGAGCGGGAGTTAAATGTGTGTCCGGCTAAACTCGTAAGGGCTCATAACCACGTCTCCACATAGTCGGAATGAGACAACATCAGGTGAGCTAACATTAAGCAGGCGTTGGGGCGAAAAATTAAAAGTGGCATAAAATTCAAACACAAGTTCATAAAACGTTCCACAGTTAATCATCGGATAAAGTTCCCAACCAATGGCAACAAAGTATGCGTGAACAGTCTCACGTAAATGCAATGTTTCTAGAGTACGAGTTGGAATATATTTAGCTACACGGAAAGGGCGGTGTTTACCGACTCGAAACGTACCAGTTCATCATCGGAGAATTGCAAATACCCATGCATCATTTCTTCGGGAGGGACTACGTATGATCGAACTCGACGGTTGCGCTCCAGGTTTTCATGGGCTGGCGGCGGGCTGTCAGGTGCATCCTCCGGGCGAGGTGGATGGGTCGACGAAGCATCACGTTCGTGGTACTGTCGTGAGCTCGATGTTTCAGGCGATGGGTCCGGTGGTGGAAAACCGGTAGTAAAATCCTCTGTAAAACCGTAAATAGGATGGTACATTAGTAACGGTTGTACTAAAACAGGACTAGAATTTACCTCGGGAGCATTATCCGACGCCGCTGAGTGCATAGAGTATGACGAGAATGCCGTCCGTCGTGAGCGTGACGGTGTTGCTTCGGTCGGAAGTGAATGAAACGATGGAGATGAAGATGGAGATCGTGGAGGGGACGGACGGCGAGACGTGATTGGCCCGGGATGGAAGGAGGCGGTCGGTGCAAAAGACGAGTGATACGGTGATATCGGTACGGGGCCACGACCTTACGTCGGTTGAGTCGGAGGAGGCGACGGTATGGAGTCGGAGTCACTCGGCAACTCGACGAACGCTGGCGCGTTTGAATGGCGTCGTCCTCCTAGGACGGTGGGTGGGGGAGCGTTGGCGTTCTCGGGTCGGTTCCGTGTGTGCACCATAGCGGAGAAGGAGTGGGAAGGTTCGTGCGTTGGGGGGGGCGATCGGGTATGAAAAGATGAAGAGGGTTGAGTTTAGTTTGGTTCTGCCGTACGTTGGGGTGTTTGAATTAGAAGTAAATGAGGTTTTTTTTGGGATAAATGTGAGTTTTAAAATTGAAAAGTGGATGGATAAAGGGTGGAATTTGTTATTATAATATAAAAGGTGAAAGGTGATAGGGTAGAGTCCACGAAATATTAAAAGAAAGAAGAGGATAAGGTGGGCGGCAGAAGAATCAAACTAGGGGAAAAAATGATTTGGGTTTCGCTAACGTGTGCCGAATCCCCCCTTGGGTTCTGCTAACGTGCGTCGTTAATTAAACGGTGCGCACAAGCTTCTCATTCTTTTTTTTTCTGTGCTCGATCGTGCACTGAGTTTCGAACTGTTCGAATCATAATTATGCAATTTCTCACCGTTTAAGTTTGAATAAAAATATTTGGCTCCTGCAAAATAAAAATAAAAATTAAATTAAACATGCTTGATCAAAAA